CCATAGCCATATATTAAGCAGAGAGAGAGAGAGAGAGACAGAGACAGAGACAGAGACAGAGACAGAGACAGAGACAGAGAGAGAGAGCATGAGGAGGCAGAAAGAGTGTAAGAACCATAGGGGATGGGGTACAACAAAAGAACAATGCCATTTAAATCAACTGAGCAAGGCAGTGGTGGTGCACGCCTTTAATCTACAGAGAGAGTTCCAGGACAGCCTCCAAACAATACAGAGAAACCCCGTCTTCAAAACACAAAACAAGAAAAACCCCCCAAACAAAACAAATATCAATCTGTAAGTTTCTCAAAAGACTCGAATCAGAACTGCCATATGACACACCTATACCACTCAGAGGCACAAACACTATGAAATTTATATCCTTCTGCAGAGCCACTTGTACATCTATGTTCAATGTTGCATTATCCATAAAAACTGGAAAATTGAATCAGTCTAGATAGCCATCAAAAGATGTATAGATAAGAAGATGTAGCATGTATACATAATAGAATATTGTTCAGTTATACAGGAAAATGAAATGATATTCTTAGGTAAATGCATGGAAGTAGAAAAAATTATACTGAGTGAAGTAACTCATGCCAAGCAAGACAAACACCTTATGTTCTCTTTCATATTTTTAGATCTTAGCTACAAATCTTTTGTTTTGTGCATGAAATAAATCTTTAAAAAATAACTCAGTGAAGAGTGCTTGTATGCAGGCAAAGAAGACAGTATAAAGGCATCTAAGTAAATGAGAGACAATAAGACATGTGAGAGGACTAGAAATAGCTCAGTATTTCTTGAATGAAGGTAAGGGGGATGGATAAAAATGAGATTGTCAAGGCTATTAGGAAATCCTAGGAGAATTTCCATAGGATATTAAAGAGCTTAGGCTCATTCCATAATGAGCAAAGGATATTTTAAATATAGTACTTATGCTAGAAAATATATTCATCTAGACATTCTCTGGAAAATAAACTCAAAGGTAAATATATGGAGTTGGTAGAATAACCATGAAGTCAGTGACCTAAAAAGCTACAACAGTTGCTTTTGGGAAATGGTACAATAATTGTAAATTCAATGAAAGGCCAAGGAGACAGCAAGAATGACAATTATATAGTGTCCAAGTAGACAGAGGGGGAAAGAAGGAGTCCCATTGACTTTAAAATGCTTAGTTTGGATAACTGAGCAGATGATGACAAGGGGTAATAAATAGCTCTAGAAAGAGAGGAGGATATGATAAGTTCATCTTTACTCATTAAGGTGTATGTGAGGTATTCAGGAAATTCATTATGTAGTACAAGTCTGAAACGTGAATAAGAGACTGCTTAGAAACACAGCATAGGAATCAGCATCACAGGGGTGATAGGAACTTTAGTGTAAATTTCATCACTTGATAAAAGGTGTAAAACAAAAAAGGAGCAATATAGAACCCAGGGAATACCAATAGCTATTTAACAAATGCAAGAAAAGTAGATTAAAATATAAAGATAATAGTTGGGATAATAGTTGGAGGGATACATATTAACCAGGTAAGCTTGATGTCAAAGTATTTAATGCCCAGAAAGTAAAGAATAGAGAGTGTCAGGGAAGGGAATGAGATTGTCAATACTAAATACAGTACAAAGGTCCAGTAGCAAATGTTGACAATCCTCCTTGGAACTTATAATGAGACAGCATTGTGTAAATGTATCTAGGTTAATTAGGCTAGACTAGTGTATTAAGTATCTAGAACTCAGTAAATTAAACATTGAGTTGAGTAGCAATTCAAGGTATAGTATTGCATGAATAAAGAAGGAAGACCATCAGAATATTAAAGTTTCTTACTTTGACCGTAGTTGGAAAAACTAACACATTTCGGATAATTTTACTGTAAATGTGCAACATTTATTAACTGAAAATTTCTTTTGGGCTTTACTAACATATAAAATGGATAGACAGAATATAATTTCCATTGTATTTTTTGCAAATTTCATTCATATTACCATTTGGAAAATGGTCATGTTGATTAATGGACTAATATTAAATTAATCAATCACTATCAAAATAAATATATTCAATTAATTCATTAAATGCATCAATATAACCCTTCATTTTTGCATACTAAAGAAAAAGTATAAGACCATAGATAGGGAACATGACTGTGTCCTAATTTTGTGTCAATTAAAGCATATCTAATGAAGGTGAATATAATATTTCTAGCTCATTGATAATGAATATTGAGAGAGAACAGAATAAGAAGTAGCAGATTAGAAAATTGATCTTTACAAAATACAATACACTAGAAATAGGAACAATGGACATTTAAATAGCTGGTTTGAAGGCAATAGTAATTTATCAGGCATACCTATTATTGTGTATAACATTTACTACATATACACAATGAATTCTTCAAGTAGACAATCATCATAGTTATATAATGTAATGTCACCAGAAGTGTATCAAGTAACTTAACATTTTTGACAATCTACAAATGCTACTATTTATAATTTTAAGAGTTTTTCATATTTAATACATAGTAAGAGGAGGGAATTTCTATATGTCTAGCAACACATGGACGGTTCTCATAATAGATATTGAAAATTTATATAAGCAGTAAACTGTCTTTATTTTGATAAGACATATATGTTTATTGTCACAGATATATATGGTAGTAATATTTGAGGATCATGATATTTCCATGGCAAATGTACAAAAATTATATGATGTTGTTAATAGTCATTTATATTTCCTTTATTATTGGTCTTCATATTTCTGAATATTCCATGCTTCAGACTAATTCTACTTGTAAAGCATACTTTTGTTTCTGCTTTCATATACAGAATATTTTGTTTCTGATCAGAAACAGATGATGCCTTCAGCACCCAGAAGGCATCTAGATCCTGGAAATATCACAAATGCCAGTACACACATGGTGCATTTCTGGTGGTATCAGATGTGGATATCTAGGAAAGAGCATCCATGGAAATAGCTGAAATATACTAGGCAGATAGGTGGGACACCACATGCTTCAAAAAACATAATGGTATGAAAACACAAGAAACATTTATCCTACAAATTGATTTAGCTGGATATGGCAGATCAGTAGCACCATTTGCAGATCTTGCCAACCAAATAGCAAATTGGTAAATAACATGGAAACACCAATTTACCAACTTTAGATTTATTTCTTCCTCAATATCTTTATGTAAATCTTATACATTGTTTAAATCTCAACTTTAGTCCCAGTTTCCCCAAAGAGGCTTCCTTGATAGTTACAAAGGAGGTGATATGAAAATGATAATTACATTTGCACTATTGTCTTTTACTGCTTGTAGTTTCATTTTCTTCAGTTTCTTGTGTCTGAAAATATTAAATGGAAGTTTGTAACTGTAAGTTTAAACTTAAACTTTGTTCTGAAAATGTGATGAAATCACACACCATTCTGCTGGGGACATGAATCATCCCTTTGTCTAAAATATGCACTTTAGACAATATATGTTACCTGACTAATAGTGAGTAGTTGTCCAGTTATCAGATCATTGGTTCAAACCACCCTTTTTGCCATTTATAGAATCTATGGTTTAGAAAAACTTGGGAAACATTGATTTTAATAAGGGAGTGGTAGATTCTAAATTTCATTCTTTCTGGTAGCTTTTTTTTAGTCTTTTGTTCGTTCTCTTTATCAATAAAGGTCACATTGGAAGATTTGGATATTTGGAACCTTTGATTATTGTTCAAGGAAAGACACCAGTATAACGCTTTTTGATATTTTCTTTAGTTATATAGGAGGAAATTAAGGAATAAAAAATGAACCCTATAATTATGTGCAGTATGGGAGAAACTTTAATATGCTCAAATAATATTTGGAAAGAAGCTGATGGAAGGAAAGAAACTAAAAAAGATATGTCAGTAAAGATATAATATCTGGTTTGAGCTCAAAAAATGGAAAGGCATGGTATTAAAATAACAGAAGTCAGTATTCAATCGGAAAACAGCAATTTTTTTCTGAAAGGAACTGAGGTTGAACTATACAAGAGTTGACTGAAGAGTGATTCCATCTTTCCACTCAAAAATGGAAAAGCTCTTGCCTGCAGTTTATAGCAGCCCACAGAAGGTCCCAGAAACTTCTGACATCCAATGTTGTTCACTTTAGCTGCAAATGTTGCATCAGAGAATTCCAATTTGGAGAGAGGAGTTCAGAAATTCCCTGTTCCCTTTCAATGAAAGGGGGCATGACCTTCCTATGCTCTCCTGATTTTAGTCTTCCTAGACGACTTCCTCCTGGCTTTCTCTTCCTCACCTACTCAGTCAATGAAATATTATTCATCATCATTCCCTTTAAATCTTATTTGGGATTTGTAATATCCACAAACTGCTAGTTTCTCATTCTACTTATGTACAGGTATATAACAATTTGTTTACCACTACTACCCAGTATTCTAGTCTTCTTGATGCCAGCTTTGCAAGCCCAGAACTTTGTTTCATATCTGGGAAAATGAAACCCTGCAGCTCCTTTCCTCAGTGAATTTTGGTTTCACAAAACAAACAAACAAAAACACTAAAAAAAGAAAGAAGAAAGTAAAAGGAAGAGCAAAAATCCATATTGAATCCTTTTAATCTCCACGAACTAAAAGGCACGGAGCCCCAATCCCCTTCAATTAACTATTCCTGTAGCCCAGTTTATCTTGCTCTTCCCTCCTCTGTTACCCATTACCCAGCCCAGAAATTCTATCTTGCTCATCGTCAACAGGTATATTGTTGAATACCTTATTTCATCTACTAGCTTATCCTTTTCTATGTCCACTGTACTACCAAACTATCCACCCTGAGTGCGCTTCTTTTAGGTAGTTTAAGGGTGAATAAGGCTGTTTCCAGCATGGCTTGTGGCATGACTCAGTGTTTGTCCCCTTTGTGACGTATGCTGTATCCTCTGGAATATTTCTTAACTACCCGGAAGTAACAGTAGAGTACTGAGAGCTTGGTGAGAGGATCAGCTTGTCTTTTGTTTGGGGAAGGAGGGAGAGAAGGAAAGAGGTAGAGGAGGTAACAACGGTTCAACAAGGACTGAGGTAGTACTGAATCTGGAGGGGAGGGGGCAACAGTTTGGCCACATGGATGGCAGATATGTCAGTGACCATACTGGAGATCTGTAAGAGTATTAATTGACTAACCTGCAACAGCCATGGCAGTTGAATTTGGGGACCAATCTAGCGGCTTCCGCCATACTGAAGTGATCAGATTCATTAACAACGAAGTCCTTATGAACGGTGGGGGTGGGGAATTCTACAGGACCTTTCGCTCTCGATCTTGGAATGAGATAGAAGATCATCTCCAGACCATCCTTATTAACCCTAAACTACCACGCTCCATCAAGAGGGCTTGCACCTGGAGCGCTTTGGCTTTGAGTGTAAGAGTGGCTGCCAGGCAGCGTGAACAACAAGTACGTAGAGTTTGGAAGTTACAGGATCAGGTGGGAGAGCGTGAGACAGCATCTTGGACTCTGGCCTCCGAACTACAGAGGCTGCGAGAGGAGAGGGACCAGGCTGCAGCTCAACTTGTTTCTACACAGACTGCACTACAAGAGGCAATGGATGAGCGTGAAGTACTTCGTGGGAGGCTGCTCCAAGCAGAGAGGTCTGCATTGCCCGATATGCCTGAACCTAGAACCGGGCGGTATAGGGCAGAGGTGTGGTCCATTGAGGATGTGGAGCAGGAAGAATTTCGATTCAGAGAGACCCAGAACATGCCAAATGTGGAGGACCAGATGCCAGTCTCACCACTCTTGTCTTATCTGCCAGGAATTCCAGGTCCCTGGGTACAAACAGTGCATCCCTTTCTTCGAATGCCTATACCAAATCCAGCCCCACTCAATGCGCAATTTCCCTTGGGATTTCCATATTCAACACCTGCACCATGTCCAGTAGTGATAGAATCAGGAGCAACAGCAGCAACCATGGCTTCAGTTGTCCCTCAGATGGCTCCTACAGCAATCTACTCACCTGGCATTTGGGTTGCATCAGGGTCCCAGGAAGCAATGACTTCTGCCTGGGGCCAAGTATGCCATGGGCCGAATGAATGCTCTGACATCCACCAAGACTTAAGTCAGCTGAGAGACAGTGTAAGCCACAGCGAAGAAGGTGCAGAGAAACCCTATGGAATACATGTCTATGGGGACAGCAGCCACAACAACCACAAGGAAAGTTATGTCATACCCCAGGTAATGACTGCCACTGAGAAGAAAACTCCAAGGAAGGACCAGGTAACAGCTGCACTGGAAGTCAACAGTAACCACAGCATAATGGACAAACCAGTAATGCCCCAGGGGTTGGATTCCCAGGGGAACAAGACCAGCTGCATGCAGAAGCCATATCCAGGGATTCCTAGGAAGGTGATTGGCCTGAAAGATAGCATCGACCATAGCACTAAAGAAGCCTCATTACCATCCCAGGAAATAGCTACCCAGGTGAATGAAACCAGCCCCATCCTGAAAAAATATCCAGGGATTCTCTTGAGGAAGCCTCACCTGGGAAGCAACCTTAGCTGTAAAGAGAAAGAGACATGCCTGGGGACAGTTGCCCTGGGAGAAGATAACAGAAGTTGGAAAAAGGAGGATACAGTCACTTTTCAGCAAATGACACTCCTGGCTACTGGTAGAAACGCTAGTGAGAGGAAAGATCAGATGATGCCACAGGAGATTGACATGAGCCAGAGCCAGAAGGAAGAACCAAATAGATTCCAAGCATATACCCCAGGAAAAAGTAAAAGTTATAGTGTGAATAAATACTCCTCAAAACACCTGCCTCTAAAACAAAAGTCCAAGCAAGCTCAAGGGGCAAAATCCCCTGAAATCAAACAACCAGAGAAAGCCCTCTTACATCGTACTCCAGTGAATTGGGTCTGCCCATCATGCAAAACGGTGAATCGCTCTTGGTGCAAAGGCTGCTATAAATGTGCAAAAGCAGGTGCTCAGTTTGGGAGAAAAGATTTTGACCCCAAACCAACTTATTGATTTCAGGGAGGTGAGTAATGGAAACACTCTAAAGAGAAAACCAATTTCTTTAGATTCATCCCATCTGGTCTAACAGTAAATTCACAGGAAAATTAAATGAAAAAATGTATAGAAAAATATGGAAGTCATTTTCCATATTAATTTCTTTTCCTCTTTGTGGTAAGGCACACATACATACAAATGTGCCAATGATAATAATCTTATTTTGTTAACTTACTTGAACTAAGAAGAACTATTTTGGAGTGTCACATCCACTTTTTAAATTGGGAATTTCTAATCATTTTATCATTTTATCACTGTTTTGCAGATGATGGAGTTGCTATGGCTGTTTGTGACTGCATGTCATCACTGAGAAACTTGTCATGAGGCTTTTTGAAAAACTATTCTTTCCTCTTCTTAAATTCCTTTTCTTAAAAAGCCTACATTCAACCTAATGCAGCCATATGATTCTACAAATAAAAACAACGTTCAATTTGTAACACCACTTTCCCTTGAAAATGGAGTTAACTTTGAAACTATTGCTGTGTTTATGCTTGCTTCTTTTTGCATTCTACATTTAATAGGGAGGCTCATATAATATGTTTCAGCCCCACTAAAGTTGTTGCTGAAGAAGGTGAATATATTGCATTGAAATAATTAGTATGAGAAAAAATCAAACAAACAAAAAACCTACCTTTATTGTAATGGAATGTGACTCACATTGACTTGACTCAAGAAGCATGATCAGTTGGGAAGGACAAAATTCTTTAGTAATTATTGGGGTAGAGTCTTGAGAATGAAATAATTTTTCTGGGACAAGGAATTAACATGGAAAGGGTGGCTGAGATATAGTACTAATAGCGTATTTGATAAATTCCAAGTAATTCATAAAAAGTTGTTACTGTTTAGTGTTTACTAAGACATGGATATTAGGTGACAGGTGAGAGGATTATTTAGTAAAAAATAGATTGCCATCTATTTCTTACATATAAAAACTCAGATCCATATTCACCATAATTTCTGGGACAAAATTCAAGACCCTTTAATGAATGGCTTTACATGACCAAACTGTTCCTCTTCTTGGTCTCAAGTGGGACAAATGATCGGGGCCAAGGTCAGAAAAATGGCCTCATGATAATGCAGATAAGGCTTTTCTGGCCCTCTACCCATTTCATCTTTCGAGTCACAGATATTTTCCTGGATACTCACTTTCTGACTGCATGGGTTGTCTTGAAGAAAGCACTTAGATATACATTCTGGTCCTCATTCCCTAACTACCCCTATCTTAAGTCTCTTTCCTGTTAATAGTGGATGGAAAACATCATCAGGATCACCTTGGCACTGTACATGGATGGTGCCTCCCTGTTCAGAATAAATTGAATAATAGAACTGGTGTATGGAGAAGCATTCTTCTGGGGTCCCATCTGCAGGATCTTTGCTCTTTCTTGGCCAGAGGAAGATGGGACTGACTGCTAATATTGGACTTCCTGAGAACACTGATGTCATCCCTACATATGTTAAATAGGCATTCATCTCTTAAACTTTCCTATTCCTAAATTTCTGGCATGGACTAATGGGTAAATTAGGTATCACAATCAGTGATTTATCCTTTTTCGCTGTTTTCTCAAGCTATTCCATTTCCATAATCATTCCTTCAACACGTTCAAAATTATAGAAAGCCGAATGCAAGCTGGTAACATGGCTCTCACTCCACACAAAGTATACTTTTGCTTATGTTTTTGCCAATAATGAGAAGAGAAACTATGAAAATCAGTCTGTCGGATTAAAATTTTAAGTTTTCTCAGATAAATGGCTACCACCTGAAGCAAGATTATGAGGGAACTGAGTGACTATAATGGGACACAAGCACAAATTTTTGAAGCAATGATGTAGATGCTGTCATGTCTTGGCAATTTTAATGGTCCCTGGATTTCCAACTATGCACACATGCACCTAGTTTTATTATCTTTAAATATGGTGATGGTACATTGGCGTTTAGGGTAGGTATGGTGGTATAGGAAAATAAAGAATTAGTTTTGTGAATGATCATTGCCAGTAAGGGAAGAATTGGAACTGTTGCTCTGAAGGCACTAAAAGAGATGACCGGGATGAAAAGGGATACTGGTATTTCTCTGAGTAAGGTAGTAAGGGAGAAGAGGGCAGAAACAATCTGGACTTTGGTGGCTTCAGAATAAATGAAGTAACATTCTGTGCTGGGTAAAAGAGAAAATGAGCAGCATTCTCCCCTATTCTGTTTCCTTACTCATTTCTTCACTTTTTCATGTCACATACGTATCTTCTATTGTAGTCTAGGCAGGGGGAGAACTGCTTTAAAACTCATTCACATTTCCACATTTTCATCATTATTTTTATTTGTTTTACATACCAACCACAGCTTCCTTTCCCTCCTCTTTTCCAATTTCCTCCATTTTACCCCCTAATCCCACTCCTCTTACTCCATTCAGATGGTGTAAAGCATCCCATGGAAGTCAACAAAGCATGTCATATAAAGATGAGGCAAGAGCAAGCTCCTCCCCTTGCATCAAAGCTGAACAAGACATACTAACATAGGGAGTAGGTTCCTGAGAGCCAGCTCATGCATCAGGGACAGGTCCTACTGCTAAGGGCTCTACAAAAGACTAAGCTACACAACTGTCACTGACATACAAAGGGCCTAGGTAAGTCACATGCCAGCTCCCTAGCTGTTTCTCCAGAGATCATGAGCTACCAAGACCCCAGGTCTGGTATCTCTATGAGATTCTCCATCATGATCTTGACCCCTCTCCTTGTTCATATAATTCCTCTATCCTCTATTCAGCTGGACTCCCAGAGCTCTGCACAGAGCCATCAGGTACCAGATGAAAGCTCTATGATGACATTTAGGATAGTCACTATCTGATTACAGGGGAAGGCCAGTTCAGGAAACCACTCCATTATTGCTAGGATTCTTTTTATTTTTAAATTTAAATTTAAATTAGAAACAAGGTTGCTTCACAAGTCAGTTCTGGGTCCCTCTCTGTTTCCCTCCCCTCCTCCCATGCCCTCCCCCCAAACCCTCCAATATCCCCTCATTTCCCCAGGGAGGGTGAGGCCCTCCATGGGGGTGTCCATAGTCTGTCATTTCATACAGGACAGGGCCTAGACCCTCCCCCAAGAGTTCAGGGTGAGAGTGCATCATACATTGTTGGATGGGAGTCCAAAGTCCATCTGTATACCCGGGATAAATACTGATCTACTGCCCAAGGTTCAATAGATTACCTATGCCTCCTCATTGATACCCACATTCAGGGGGTCTTGATCAGTCCCATGCTGGATTCCCAGGCTGATGCCTGGGATTCAAGAGTTAACCCTTGTCAGGTCAGCTGTTTCTGGGAGGTTAAACCAGCCCAGTCTTAATCCCTTTGGTTATCAGTCCTCCCTCTCTGTTACTGGCTTTCTTGAGTTCAGTTCAGTGCTTCATTGCTAGGATTCTTAGCTTGGGTCATCTTTATGGCTTCCTGGAAGTTTCCTTGGCATGAGGTTCCTGCCTAACCCCATATAAGGACTCTCTATGAAGATATCTCTTTCATTGATCTACAGCTCTGTTCTGCCCCCAACTCGACCATCCTGATCCCTCATGTTTCTACCTGTTTATTCCCGCTATGCACCTTCTCACCCGCAGTTTACCCAGGAGATCTAATCTATTTCCTCTTCCCAGGGAAATCCATATGTCCCTCCTAGGGTACTCCTTTTTACCAAGCTTCTCTGGGGCTGAGGATTGTAGCCTCTTTATCCATTGCTTTACATCTATTATCAAATTATGAATGAGGACATACCCTGTGTGTCTTTCTGGCTCTGGGTTACCCCACTTAGAATGATTTTTGAAGCCCATCCATTTACCTGCAAATTTCATTTACCTGCAAATTTCATGGTGCCATTGCTTTTTCCTCTGAGTAATAACCCATTGTGTAGACTTACCACATTTTTTTGTCCATTATTCAGTTGAAGGGCATCTAGTTTGTTTTCAGGTTCTGGCTATTAAGAATAATGTTGCTATGGACATAATTGAGCAAGTGTCCTTGTGGTATGGTTGACCATCCTTTGGTTATATGCCCAAGAGTAGTATCACTGGGTCTTGAGGTAGACTGATTCCTGATCTTCTGAGAAACCACTGTACTGATTTCCATAGTGGCTATAAAAGTTTGCACTCCCACCAACAGTGAAAGAGTGTTCCCCTTACTCCACATCCTTTCCAAAATAAGCATTTTTGATCTTGGCTATTCTGACAAGTGTGAGATGGTACCTGAGATTCATTTTGCTTTGTATATATCTGATAACTAAAGATGTTGAATTCTTAAAGTGTATCTTGGCTGTTAGATATTCTTCTGTTGCGAATAATCTGTTTAAATCTGTATCCCATTTTTCATGGGATTATTTGGTATTTGATGTCTAGTTTCTTGAGTTCTTTCTATATTTGGATATCAGTTTTTATAAGATGTAGGGTTTTGTGAAGATTTTTTTCCATTATGTAGGCTGCCATTTTGTCTTATTGATTGTGTCCTTTGCCTTACAGAAGTTTTTCAGTTTTAGAAGGTTCCATTAATTGTTTATCTCAGTGCCTCTATTGCTGGTGTTATATTCAGTAAGTCTTCTGTGCGAGTGTGCTGTAGGTTACTTTCCACTTTCTCTTCTATCAGCATCAGTGTAACTGGATATATGTTGAGGTCCTTGAGTTTTGTGCATTGCAGTAGATATGTATCAATTTGCATTCTTTTCGATGTTGACATCCAGTTATGACAGCACCATTTGTTGAAGATTTTTTTCATTGTATATTTTTGGCTTCTTTGTCAAAAATCAGATGTTCATAGGTGTGCGGGTTTAAGTCAGGGACCTTGCTTTGTATCCTTGGATCCGCATGTCCTAATCTTTTCAAATAATGTCACTTCCTATGAGCTTATGGGAGAATTCTCATTCTAACCACTGTCACTGAAGGAAATCATGACAGGAACTCAAATATGGTAATGTGGTGATATATTATTTATGATTTATTAAAGCTTGTCTGAGGGTACAGAAAGCAAAGCTCGCCACAAGCTATGGAGTCATGTAATGGTGACAACCACCTTGAATCCCAGCAGCCATACTAACTTGGACTTTTTCTTTTCCAACTCTTACAAATCTTTCTTTATTCTGTAGGTATATTGCTTTGACATTTAGGATAGTCACTATCTGATTACAGGGGAAGGCCAGTTCAGGAAACCACTCCATTATTGCTAGGATTCTTTTTTATTTTTAAATTTAAATTTAAATTAGAAACAAGGTTGCTAACAATATTGCTTTGATTATTACTTGGCAAGGGGAATGTCTTTGTTCAGCATATTTAGTGTTCTCTAAACTTCTTCTACCTTTATATGTATATTCTCCTTTAGATTGGGAAAGTTTTCATGTATGGTTTTGTTGAATAGGATCTCTGTGCTTTTGAGCTAGGATTCTTTTCCTACTTCTATCCCTATTATTCATAGGTTTGTTCTTTTCATGGTGTCCCAGATTTCCTGGATATTTTGTGTTAGGAATTTATTGGATTTAACATTTTCTTTGAATGATGAATCTATTTTCTCAATCAGATCTTTAATGCTTGAGATTCTCTCTTTCATCTCTTTATTCTGTTGGTGATGCTTGCATCTCTAGTTCTTGTTTGTTTCCCCAGATTTTCCATTTACAGAATTCCCTGTTTGTGTTTTCTTCACTTTCTTGTATTTCA